TACCAAATACATTTGTGAACTCTCTGAAAGATGCTAAGTAGACAAACCCAAAGACCAAATAAACATCATTATCCATATGGACTCTGTGTTGGAGATATTACATTTAAAGCCATATACTCAGAAGGGGCTATCTTGCTGACGAACCTAGATTTGTGGACTCTTACAAAGGGATTCTCAGTGAGCTATCCTTAAGAAATTATACTCACAAATCCAGCCATAAGTGGTATTAGATACTCGGGTATCGTGTCCAAACGAGGTCCCCATTCGCCATACTTCCTCGAGACGATTGTCAAAACCCGTGTTTGTGATACGATAGTGCTCGGGTAGAGTAAGAGTGCCCTATTTCGCATGGTTTTACTTATACTATTAGAGAAGACTTTAAATTGATAACATTCTAACCTGGTACTAGGGCGATACGTACATCAACAAATAATCAAAAATTACTCACTAATCTTGTTTTAAAGATTGAACATTATTTACGATATATGATCAGAAATTTAACCCTGTTTGAGAAGCATGATGCACAATAACCGACAACCCCTCTAAACCGGTAGGCTATTTCCATTAATTTGATGGGTGCCGGTTAAGAGGTTTCAATAGAAATGTGCAAAAGACACGAGGTTTATGTAAAGCTATAGGCCTATAGCTGATAGAAATGTGCAAAGCTACGACAGTCGAGACTTTCAGGTGCGTTCTTTGAATAATTGTAATAGTGCAGAAAAGTAGGACGTAAAACTCCATTCATTTCTTTTCATTTTTTGAATAATTGTAGGCAAACCGAACGTCGAATTTTAATTTGAAACGTGATAGGTTCTGCACTAGACTACATATCATCAATGCTATTGAGCTCTTTTGAACATGACTAGCCTATACAACAGTGGAAACACTAAATAAACCGTATTAAAATTGAACCACCTTTGATCTCGATGCAAGGAATGTGTTCATCGTCAATTTCCATTTACTCGTACTCTCCAGCCAGTCTAAATTTCACATCCAATCCGTATACATCTCACACTTGAAAATTGAAAGTTCACAGTCTGGAATTTGGAAGTATTTGTGTAAATGACCAGAATTCCGAACATGTTTTCTTAATTCGGCGAATGAGCTCATACATCAGGTAGCCAATCTATACACAGAAAGTCAAAAATCGACAGTGAAATGATTTTTATCGTCAAGAACTTGAGTTAAAAAAATATTCATTCCATTTCACTTGTTTACAAATTTCGTTACGGATGAGACATGGAATGTGGGTTGTAGCTTGATTTGACAGGTGTCACTTTGATTATACGGAGGAGTGTATCAGTAGGACTACACCTTAATTCTTTTACATTTTAAGAGATGAATTCATCTGTCTGTCCTTTTTTATTTGGTTATTTACACAAGTTTCAAATCCCTTTTGTACATCTAGTAATTTGTAATTTAAGTCTAAAAAATTATTGTCTAAGCAAAGTAAATTTGAGTTTAATTGTGTCAATTATAATGGGGTCCAAGGGATCACAGAATGTCAAACAGACTCAAAGGAAAATATTTCCATAAATGTAGAATGGTACTTTAATATGAAAGTGGAGATCCAAATCTGGGCCATCCTCATTTTCGGGGGTCCATGATCCCAACTTGCCCGTTTTCTGTTCTTAGAAGTAACTTGAATATTTAAATAGATCTAGCCATGATATCTATTTGAATTATTTTTAGATTTTAAAGATGGAAGAAGATGGAAAAGAGGTTCAAACTAAGGAGCTGACAGAAATTGAAATTTTGAAGGAGAAAATTTCTCAGTTACAGTATGAATTGACACATTATAAATCTAACAACGAAGATTTGATATCGAAATTGGCGAAGGCTGATCGTCAGACAGCTAAAATTAACAGCTATAATGAGGAGCTGCGCCTACAGCTAGATACCCTGAGTAAAGAGCTCCATGAATACAGAAAATCTCAGACTGTAGAAAAGAAAGGAGAAGTCAGAGAAGGGGTACCGAGACAAGAGATTGGTGTTCAAGTTAACTCAGATGATTTTGAAATAGGTTTGTGTTAAGTATTATGGGATGAAACCTGTCGCTGGGCCAACTCTCATAAAAAATGGCCATGGTATAAGAATTTTTTTACCTTGAGGGGGATTGGAATATAAAAAACCAAGTACCAATGATCTGATCCAAAACGAACCTCATCTTGGCAATACCAGTATATTTTTTACAGCTATTGAACTTTTCATATGAAGAAGTACACTGTATAACAATCATAAATGAGGAACCATGTTTTATTTGATTAAATTGTTTTCCATGTCTTAATACTATTTAATTTATTTTCAGTTTTTGAATCTAAGGCTCTACCCGATTGGACAGAAAATAGCAACCATGTAAGATATGGTTATTTGTTTATTTTCAAATAAATTCTGAAACTAACTAATAAATAAGATAAGGCCTGGGCAATATAGGGATATCATATTAAATATCATTAATATATCATGATATGGGTTTATGATATAAACATTTCAATGTAAGAAAATCGACTAACGATTACCTGTATATCACCCAGCCCCATGTTAGATAGTGGTGTATATCGTATTTGTCTTTAATGGTATCATTTCAGAACAATACATCAATTGACACCAGTTCAATCGCAGATTCATTGAAAGCTACAGCTGAAGCAGTTTTACATTCCCAAGGTTCTCAACCGGACTCCACGACCAACTATACTAGTAACTATGGTGATGGCTATTCCGGTAACCAAGCATCCTCCTATGTATGGGATAACAACTATCAGATGTATTATGATTATAATTCAGGGTATTACTTAGATACGGTTAGTAGAAATAGTGTCTTAAAATCAGATTAAAAATTTCAACTACTATGACTACCAATAACTACCTAGTTACCGATATCAGCATCCTCTGGAAGTGAACGTTAACTTGTCATCTACCAACCAACCAACCAACCAACCATCCTCTTGCCATAGTTTGCAATATCAGCATCCGTTGGAAGCGAACGTTAACTTGTCACCTACCTACCTACCTACCTACCTACCATTCTCTTGCCATTACATCTACCAACCAACCATCCTCTTGCCATAGTTTGCAATATCAGCATCCGCTGGAAGTGAACATTAACTTGTCATCTACCAACCAACCAACTAGATTAAAATTATTATCTTTTTTTCATTCTATGTTTTTTCTCCATCACCATGATCCATAAAACTAAATGATTTATTATTATACGTCAACATGAAAAGGGGGGCGTATATATAGTTGTCTCCCTTGAACCCTATTGAAAATAAAAAAAATTTCAATTTGTATATTGATGTTTATTACAGTCCAATAACCTATATTACGACCCAAAAACTGGGACCTATTTCTACTACAATAATACAACTCAGAAGTATGAATTCCATTCTCAAGTTTCTGTGAATGATGGTTCCAAGAGTGCAAGAGAGAAGTCTTCTGATTGTTCCAACTCTGCCAGAAAATCAAAGACTGAGCAACATAGTCTTAAATCCAGGTCCCATTTAGAGAATGATACAAGAGACGTTCGACATCGAGATTCTCCCAAAAAGAAGGTAAGTCTCTAAAAATTTGAGATTTAGGTTGTATAAGAATTTGTTGTCTCCGGATCCCTTTTGATTTTCTTTTAGTATTTGAGTTTTAAACTTGTAGTGCACATAGCTATTTAAGGTCACTTTGGAAAAACCACATAGCTGATAAAGTGTATTTGGTATTTTGGTTTGATAACTTTTTTTTTGGAGTGGCCACATGCCTTTTAATGTTTTATTGTCAGCTTGGCATTGCATCTGAATAACCAATAATGTGTATTTGATATAATGATTTGAGTTTGTCAACTTAGCATCCGTCTGCACTCACTAAAGTAGATATTTTCCAAATTGACATTTATTTGTCTAGGCTAAGTCAAATTAAGATTCAAGGAAACCATAGTTTTAAGATTAGAATATTTTGTTGCTAGGTAACATTAGATATCGATGACGTCTGCAGATCTGTTCAAAATTTAAAGATACAGTCTCCCGTTCAAAATATTCTAGGTAAATATCATTTCGTTTTTTTCTTTTTTATTTCAGGAAAGAAGCAAACATAAAAAACAGAAACGTAGCAGATCGGGCTCAAGGGAGCGTGAACGATCATCCAAGAAACGTAAAAAGTCAAAATCACGGAAACATAGGAAAGAATCTAAGGAAGAAAATGATGAAAAGAGAAAGCATGATTCTTCACGACATGGGTCAAGTCGCTCTAGAAAATCGAAACATGGTGAAAAATCATCAGAAAGTGAGAGAAAATCGGGTGAAGAAATTAATGTTAAGGCAGAACAAGATGGAGTCCTTATAAAGGAGAAACAATATGAGGATAATATTTCAGAAATTCCGAGTACAGAACTAGAGTCAATGGAAACTAATGTAGAAATTGAACAACAGATGTCAGACAGTTCAAATGATGATTTGGAGATGATTAAACTTAAAGACAAAGTACCTGAAAGCATGGACACTGAGAAGTCTTCAACTGACTCAAAATCAAAATGCAAACAGAAAAATTGTGAGAATTCACCATCAGTTGATCAAGACATGAATTCGGAAAGCGTCAAAATGGAAGTGAAAATGGAGATTTCTGAGGGGGAGTCGAACAGTATTTGTACAGGAGAGTCAGAGCTGGAATCTGGAGAACTTTCCTCTGATTCTTCAGATTCCGATCTGGATAGTAATTTTGACAAGAATCAGCATGATGTGTACAATGTTCTGGAAGCTGAATTGATTATTCCAGAAGCTGTGATGGTGGCCCAAAAAGACATCCATGGACAATTTGTTCCCTATTCTGAAGATGATCTTCGTCAAATAGGAAATGGTAATTTGTTTTAGTAGAATTACAGGAACCACAGACTGATTGACAAGATCTGTCCTACATGAATAATTGAACCAAAACATAAAATTTTAAAAAGCCAGTTTATGGAAAAGGATTTTTGAATGGTTCTGTTTTAAATTTCATATCTCTACTTTCGTTTTGTAGAAGCGTCTGCTAGCTGGCCACCCTGTATACGAGTGATGGTGAACCAATCAGAATGTCTAGATATTGGTGATTTATTTATAGTAACATGTACAGGTGGTACGATTGGTCGAGAGAAAGGAAAGAATCATGTGATCGAGATAAACAATATTAATATTAGTCGGGTGAGTAAGTAGATAAAAAAAATATTAAAAAATATGCCCATAATGCTTATAGAAGATAAGAAAATCCTTGAAATTGAAATGGCAAAATTAGGCCCAAACACAAGTTAGTAGTTTTATAGATGTGTTTCTTAATTCTAATCAAGATACTTCCTTATCTTCTACTAGGCCAATGACCAGGCCACGTATTTTTGAAATGATCTTAGTGCTACGACATCCTAGACACAGTGTTAGAAGTTTAGACCCTAGAATATCCGAGCTCTAAGATCATTTCGAGAATACGCGGGCAGGGGTTATTTCATAAGCACATTACATTAAGGATGATGTGTTATCCATCTGTTTGATCCTTTATCAATCAAGTGGTTAGGTGTTTTTCTTAAAATTTGTATTTTGGATTTGACCACAGGTGAATAAGGGAATCATTTTTTAAAACTTAATTTATTTCTTTGTGTTTATTTTCCAACAATTTTTTTTGTCTTTATAGAATCATTGTAGTCTAAGGTTTGATTATACCAACAATCAGTATGTGGTAAAAGATGATGGTAGTCAACATGGTACTTTTATTAATAATATTAGATTGTCTCAGGTAAGTTGGAATCATGGCGCTTCAGGGTTCGAATCATATTAGATTCATCCCATGTAGGTTTGACGTTTCAGGGTTTGTAAGATCAAAAGGTCAAATTCCCTTACAATTCTAAAATCATAAGGCCACATTCCCTTACCACCCTAGAGTCATAAGATCAAATACCCTTACCACCCTAGAGTCATAAGATCACATACCCTTACCACCCTAGAGTCATAAGATCAAATACCCTTACCACCCTATAGTCATAAGATCAAATACCCTTACCACCCTAGAGTCATAAGATCACATTCCCTTACCACCCTAGAGTCATAAGATAATATTCCCTTACCACCCTAGAGTCATAAGATAATATTCCCTTACCACCCTAGAGTTATAAGATCACATTCCCTTACCACCCTAGAGTTATAAGATCACATTCCCTTACCACCCTAGAGTCATAAGATAATATTCCCTTACCACCCTAGAGTTATAAGATCACATTCCCTTATCACCCTAGAGTCATAAGATCAAATACCCTTACCACCCTAGAGTCATAAGATCACATACCCTTACCACCCTAGAGTTATAAGATCACATTCCCTTACCACCCTAGAGTCATAAGATAATATTCCCTTACCACCCTAGAGTCATAAGATAATATTCCCTTACCACCCTAGAGTTATAAAATCAAATACCCTTACCACCCTAGAGTCATAAGATAATATTCCCTTATCACTCTAGAGTTATAAGATAACATTCCCTTACCACCCTAGAGTCATAAGATCACATTCCCTTACCACCCTAGAGTCATAAGATCAAATACCCTTACCACCCTAGAGTCATAAGATCACATTCCCTTACCACCCTAGAGTCATAAGATCACATACCCTTACCACCCTAGAGTCATAAGATCACATTCCCTTACCACCCTAGAGTCATAAGATCACATTCCCTTACCACCCTAGAGTCATAAGACCACATACCCTTACCACCCTAGAGTCATAAGATCACATACCCTTACCAGCCTAGAGTCATAAGATCACATTCCCTTACCACCCTAGAGTCATAAGATCACATTCCCTTACCACCCTAGAGTCATAAGATCACATTCCCTTACCACCCTAGAGTCATAAGATAATATTCCCCTACCACCCTAGAGTCATAAGATAATATTCCCTTACCACCCTAGAGTTATAAGATCACATACCCTTACCACCCTAGAGTCTTAAGATCACACACCCTTACCACCCTAGAGTTATAAAATCAAATACCCTTACCACCTAGAGTCATAAGATCACATCCCCTTACCACCCTAGATTCTTAAGATCACATCCCCTTACCACCCTAGAGTCATTAGATCACATTCCCTTACCACCCTAGAGTTATAAGATAATATTCCCTTACCACCCTAGAGTCAAAAGATCACATACCCTTACCACCCTAGAGTTATAAGATAATATTCCCTTGCCACCCTAGAGTCATAAGATCACATTCCCTTACCACCCTAGAGTTATAAGATAATATTCCCTTACCACCCTAAAGTTATAAGATCACATTCCCTTACCACCCTAGAGTCATAAGATCACATACCCTTATCCCCCTAGAGTCATGAGACAGCACACTCTTGCCAGCTTGGTGTCATTAGATTATTTTAACTCAAGAATAAGGATGTATTGGGTTAATTTGGTTTAGGCACATGAAGAGAGTACAGAGAGGGGAATAACTCATGGTGATGTATTAAAGCTGGGTACAACAGAGTTATTGTTACATATTCACCCGGGTACAGACACCTGTACAGACTGTGAACCTGGGGAGGTCAAGGCCAGGGTCAAGCTTGAGCAAGGTCATAACTACGGTAAGTATTTTACGCAAAATCCAAGGAAATACACGATCAGATTGTTTAATAAAAAGAGATTTAAAATCAGTTTTAGTAATTGACCAATCAGATGACCGGAACAGTTCAGAAAAAGTCCCTGATTGAAAAGATTCATTGAATGATTTTAGCATCTTATACAATTCAGCAAGAAAATATATAATTTCAGTTCTAATGACTGCCAAAGAGAAGAAAAAACAGCAAAAACTAGAATTGAAAAGTATTAAAAAACGATATGGATTAAAGGTTAGTTGGCTTGATATTTAGAACTATTGAACAAATAGATTTTGGCTCTAAGCTTTTGGGTCCAAAATTTCATTCATTAAAATTAAGGTACACTACCATTGTGAATGTGGTTGGTGTCAGTGGTGTCACAGCCTACATATTTTGGAATGTAATTGTGACTTTGTTGTCCAAAAAGGTTATGTTTTGGGCGTATTAGTTATCATCACCCCAGGGCTGTTCACTTATTATTTTGTCAGTGGGACATTTTTCAACGACCTGTGATATTTGATCTCAATTTCCCATTGAGAGAAGGTTTATTATATCATGGCCTACTACACCGGTATTGTCATGATGTTTGGCAAAAGAAAGGTCAACTGGGTCATTTAACCAACAGTTCGTGATCACCCTCATAACATTGATAGAAAATGACCAGAGAATTTACATTTTTATCATGTTATACTCTATGTCTATTCGGTCTACACTTTCTTATTTTCCAGAATATGAATTTTGAAGACAATGAAGCGATAAGCAATCCGGCATACGAGGACAAGGCTGCTACTAGAAGAAAACAGGTCGGAAGCGACGGACCAGGACATAAGTCTGAGGCTCCTGCATCTGTTCATAAGTAGGATTTCTAAATATTATCTATCTTACAAGACAGTCACACAATCCAACTTAAAATGAGCCAGATGGATTTTAGATACATTATGGAAATAAGACACTTAAGTTTTGTCATCATTTCAAAAGTGAGGCATTTTCCTCCATTACTCTGGGGCTATATTTCCAAAATCTGCATTTTATTTAAGTTTTGAGAGACAAACACAAAAAATTTATGAATGGTTATTGGACCGATTTCTGATTTACCACATTAATTGAGCAGTCTTTTGGACTTCATGACTTAAATTTTGCATAGGGCTTATTATTTTGCCAATGGGACATTTTCAACAGTTTGTGTATTTCGACCACAAAGTCTAGTTAGAATAAGATATATGAGGATATATGAGTGTATCCTTGTGCATTACTTTAATGTGCTCTCAATTCTAAATGAAGGAATAAAATGATGATATTTCAGGCCTATATCTCAGAAGAATAAAGGTCATAAACTATTGGCTAAGATGGGTTGGAAAGAAGGAGAGGGGTTGGGGAAGTCTAGTTCTGGTATTACAGATCCGGTAAGTTGGTCATTATTAATGTATTTGAAAATAGCGATATGTTTGAAACTTGATGATCAAGCAAATTAAAGAAAAAGAGGTCCATATAGAGCTTGGTGTTGCAATTTCATACTTGAATTGAATACATCACTAAATAACAACAAAATTTATGGCATACTTCGCTGGCTGCATATTCTAGAAACGATTTTTGCTCTTGGATATATCCTAGGGTCTTAACAATGTTCCTGGGATATCCTGGTGCTAAAATCTTTTCGAGAATATGTGGCAGGAGGTATTCATTGTCATCATCAGATGAAAAAAAAAACCTCATTTGATTATTTGTAAATGTGTACAATAAAACTCAGGTGAAGTATACTCACTATAAGATTGTGTTTCATTATTTAATATAAACACCCTCTAATTGTTAGTAAAGATTATTGAAGACATTGTGACCTAGGTCAGTGCTTTCATTGAGACTCATCTCAATACACCTTTACATTAGCTTATCTCAAAACTTAATAAGTAAATTGAACAACTTTGTTACTTTTATTCCAGATCAATGTTACGTTTCGAGCCAATCAATCAGCAGGGTTTGGTTCATCATCGTCAGTGGCAACCTCTATTGATAACGTAGACGGATCCGCAACTAAAAAAGCTACAATTTGGAAACAAACCCGCGAAAGATTTGATAAAATTAGTAAACAATCTTTGGACATTTTTGAGTCAGATTCAGATGTGGAAAAACCAAAAGAAAATGGTTGAAAATTAGGTAAAGATAGCTTGCAAGGCAAGGGGTAATATATGATGTGAGCGTATAATAACATGAATATAAGCTAGAGATGAGTAGACTGAACTGTTGGCTACATTGGAAATTGCTTAATTATGAGTATGCAGTAAATAATTCTATTCAAAATCCAAAGGAATCCAAGGGACTAAACTCTGCATTAGTCTGAAGTGGATTGTATGACCCAAAACAAGTGGACTGTTGTGTGCCTTTAAGTGAATGGTATTACTATCCTTGTTTGATTTTCTGCTTTATGAACTGTTATATGCACATTAAAGGAACCAAGACAGATGCATTTTGGAAGATAAATATTATTTTGACCTGATTTAAACTGAACATATCAAAATGCCTAATTCAGGATATTTTATTGCTATTTTTAAATGACACTCCTGACAGTGCTTGTTTGTATGATGAATTTTTGAGTGAAAGCTTATAAAGACAGATTTTTGAAGGGATCAATAATAGCTGATTTTCTGTTGTGTTTATTTGAGTATAAAATATTCAACTTGAATATTGTTTTGTGTTTTCATTTTTGTTTTCCCTAAATATACTTGCTGTCCTGTTGAAATGTGAGTGTTAGAGCTTTGATGCAGTTTTCATAGATTTCAACGTTGAATTTTGTATGTACTTATATCAGCAAGTGTTGATCTGTTGATCAGAACAGCTGGTTTTGAAATTAATAGGACATAGGGATATACCACAAAACTGGTCTTGCATCACAAAAGTTTGTAAATGCAGCAATTTGATTGGATTGTACGCAAACAAATACAACCAATTAGAAACTTAGACAAAAAGACAGTAAACAACTAGGCTGCATGTGTATTCAGGGGCTGTTATTGGCTGTATGTGCTAGGGTACCATCCAATCAAATTGATGTAATACCTCAACATTGTGAACATGGCTTTTATATATGCCTTGAATTTACCAGCTTTTTTCTATAATATAGGTAGGCAGTTCACAGTAAATAGGCACATGCCCATTCTTTATCAGAATAAATATTTCATTATCAAAATAAATCTATATCTTTAATCACTAAACATAAAATAATATATAATAAAAATATATAATATATTTGAACAGATGAAATTAAGGCACCAATATACTAACCCATTACTAGTATAAATAACAACCATAACAAATAACAAGATAACAAATAACAAAATAAGGAAAACACACCAGTAAAAAATTATTTTCATGAGCATCAAATTTCGTTGATTTTATTTGCATATGTAATAGGACTTCAATATGTGAATCCTAATTCTTTTTTGTCAATATTTTGAACTTCATGTAGGTCTGCATGTTTGAAATTTTTCTGTGTAAAGGTGCAAGCTCCAGTGCAGGAATTATCAATACAGTTCATACAGAAGTGAAAACATGAGGTATGGGTCAGGAGAAGAAGAAATGAATTTGGTGAAATGTTAAGCAACATTTGTTGGTCATGATTTGTATTTGAAGATTTGTTACTGAAGAGACACTTGTGTTTTTTTCTTTATATCAGCACAATGTACTTGTATTTTCTACTGTAATGATAAATCCACAAATTTCTCCATATCTTATTTATTCACAACTTACGCAGTGGCGGAGCAAGGTTTACATCCGAGGGGGGGGGGGCGAATTATCTGACATTGCTCGAATTTCTAACCTAGTTATGAGATTTTTGCCCGAAAAACTTGCTTCCGGGGCTGCGAGAGGGGGCGGTTAACCCCCTTTGGCTGTGCCACTGACCTTTGGACAATGTAATTGATGAAAACTTAAGTAGTGTGTTTCCCTTTAAAATATAAAAATATAAACCTATATACATGTCTTGTTGTTGCTCCATAACAAAAACCCAGGAGGTTTAAACGTAAATAAATAACAAAGGAACACAGATTTGATTTTTGCTCGAGAGACAAACTGTAAGGCCACTGTGGTATCAGAATCACATTAGGTTAATCATTATTAAGGATAAAGGATTTCCATATGGGATGGATAAAATATTAACAATCAATTATCATTTGATGGATGAAGGGTTCGTGGTAATTTTAAGATAAGAATATGTCCATATTTTTGACAAAATTGATCAAAGATACATGTTGACCATTAAGGGACAAGTTATCTATTTTCGGAGATTGATTAGGGTCTTGAATATGTGTAAATAAACTTCAGAAGTACTAGAAATGTACAAAATTTGCATAATTCCTTCAAAAATACCTCAATCATCATATTAAGTTTCAAACGCGGATAATTCTGGACACACATGGATATGAACGCTAAAATTCCCACGGTGAACTGTGAACACTATCACTGATTAGCTTAGCTAAAAACAATTCCCATTTGGATTACCATTAGGAATGGATCAAAAATTATCAATAATTTAGTGCTGATCAAGGATAATCATGATATTGGTACAGGATTGGATGACAATCAAAAGTATTAAGTATAAAAGATGATTAGATTAAAAAGGATTATAGATGGATTAGGAAATGCTATTCAATGGGATCATAATCTCTTTGTGGGACTTTACCACACCTTATTGTAAATAATATACCATCCTGAAATAAAATAAAATACACGTATTCTACTTAATGTGATACTACGTCTTAGACTGAACATAAAATTCAAGTTTTCAAGAATGGTCAATATGAGTATATATTCATCAGTGAACTCACCTTGTGTCATAAAGTTACAATAGAATCTCTGGAAAATTGGAAAAATCATAAGTAATTATTGAAAAATGCTTAATCTTGATATCAAGCGTTTTTCAATAGTTAATTTCATATTTATGGATAATTACTAAGTTTTTTGGATTTATCGGATTATATAAGGATCCTGTTATATTATTTATGATCATGAATATATGCTCTTATTGACAGTTTAAAATTCTTAAATTCTAGGACGTAGTATTCCTTTAGGATTATGAGCCATGTGGTCTCTCCAAATTGGATGTCATTTCATTATTAGTTAAGTGGACTCTCTGAAAGGGACATTGAGTTGATACCCACGGAGCATTTCAACCAGAAGTTGTAGATGTTAAAAATGATAGTTTGTCATTATGTAATTGTTTCCTTACTGTATAAGTGTGAATTCGAATCCTTACAAGCAAGGCAATTCTGTTAATCAAAATCGAGCCCAAAGTGGAGAGTAAAAGCTGTATACTCCTCATAAGAGTAAACATGGTCTGCTTCACATAGCCTTTTATACTCTCAAGTAAATCTGGAAAGTCACCATGACCAGTGTTTCTAAAGATAATTCTCTTATACACCCAATAGTATTTGGCCAATATTGTGAAATAATTTGCACTTATGAATTCTTGAGACCCCGGCCAGTGTTTCCACAGAAGTATCTCATTCATTATACCCAAAACGGTAAATAATATCTGCCCAGTCCAGACATAAAATGGGACAAAAATTTACTCACAGCAACATAGACTGGTAACATCATCCAGAAATCACTGTTTGGTATAACATCCTTCCCGTGATGGCCTCGTGCTAGTTTCAATATTGCACCAAATGTAAAATAGGTAAATAATGATACCACAAATCTAGGAAAAAGAAACAAACAACTATAACTTAAAAAGATAACAACTTAGGTTCATAGTTAAGCATTCTTTCTACCAGCTTGTCTTTGGCCCAACCTCTTGACATTGATCTTCTCGGATTATCAATACCCATTTACAGTTGGGTCGACTGGAATTATGAGTGAAGATGACTTATTCAAGGTCATCAGATTATCACATGCCGATCCAAACCGGAACCCACAGCTGCCATTCGCTCTACGTAACCCAGCAAATGACGTCATGTAAAGAACTAGTTCTCTAACCAACTGTGCTATAGAACCTTATAAAGAAGAAAATCTTAAAATAATATTTCATACAAAAAAACACTGATATTTTCTTAATATAAATTATTCAATAATAATCACAGAGCTTGGTCATCATGAACAGATTTTTGATAAAACAAAATATAAGATATAAATTTAGGAAAGTGCCTCAATGGAATGAAGAAAAAGAAAAGAGCTTACATGATAATTAAAACTGTACCCCCACTAAGCTGTGTGACAGGAGTTGATGGCTCTATTTTTAAACACGCCCCAGCATAATCAAATGTTATGTTATACTGAAATAAAAACAATGAAAACATGGAATGGGGCTGTCAATCAAAATTGCAAACTAAGGAATCACAATTCAGAATAAGTTTTATTAATGTGGTCTGATATTATTTTGTTGAGTTGTATTCTCCCTTGATTTCCAAAGCACTATGAGAATGCATATTTATAAAAGACTGATGGCTTACCCTTTGTGCCAGTATGAATTACATTTCAATATTGTGACATAAGCATTACTATATTTTCTTAACAGCTGATGCCATTCTTTAAAATAAATGTTCCATCAATTGGGTGGAATATTGACACTCCGATTTTTAGTATTTTCTAACTCTGCAGGTAATTTGAATATAGTCTAATTAAATTAGATCAAACTTTTTTCCCTTTTTTTCCCTTAGCTTTCATTTTTAATATAGCCACTTCAATTAGGGTCTAACGACACCCCTCTTAAATGTTCATCAAATTAACCTTTTGACCCATCTGATAAACTCAGCGTCACAAAATGCCAGAGCTGGAGAGGGTAGAAATTTGATTGGTTAAATCAGGCGTCATCAGGTGAGGTCAAAAGGTTAATTTGACAAACTGAAGTGGCTAGATTAAAAATGAAATTAATAAAAAAAAAATGAAAGTTTGGTCTAATTTTAAGTAAACTGATTTGAACCCACAGAACAAAATTGACCATCAGATGATTATCCAATTCCATAGTACATAGAATTTTTAACCTACAGGTCTGAATAACCTAGCAGTTGATCATCCAATTCTTTCCCAAATATTAGGTGAATATTTTTAAATTGATGAAAAGTTGGAGTCCCCTAAAAGCAGGTACTTACACTGCATTTGGAAGCATCATAAACTATTTTAGGGGAATGTGGTATTAAAGAACTCTGTGAATCTTTCGGCCAGAAGCTGTTGGAATTACACTGAAAATTAATTTGGGTCTGTAGCTGACATGTTTTACCTCCAGTACCAGTTGAGTTGATTATCTCCCCTCCTTCAAATTTTGTTGTAAATCCTGGTGGCACTGAAAATATTAATGAAAATAATCAAACGTAAAAATTAACTTAAAAAATTGTATGCTAATAATGATGCACTGGCCATGGTCACAACAAAAACTGAAAAAATCAGGAACTTTTAATTTTAATACAATTTAGTTCGATTACAGGACAACCATACACTGGATTATTGCAATTATGAAAAGCGATATGGAAAGCTGAAAGTGAGCTCAATCAGAGAGTAAAGCAAATAACTGAATTTACTGATTTCATTCGACTAAGTTAAATTATTTCTGACTATAGGTCCTTATAGCCATCAAAAATACAAGCACATCATGGAATTTTACTTTTTTGGGGCAATTTTACTATCAAAATCTGTTGTTTGGAATTTCAAAATGAGAAATATTATATTTATGACAAAAATTAATATTCAAATTTATTCAAAAAAGGGTCTTGTGTTTACCAATCTTATCCAAATTAGCATAATAATAATAATAATAAAGTCTTCAATTTACATAGGTGGACAACCTGTTTAACAAATACACAAGTATATAAGTAATAAATGGACAGACTTTGTTGCTCTGATCAAGTACATGACCACAAAAGACGTACAAGACATCACCATTTAAGGATTTGACTGGTAACAATAACGTCTTAAGATCAAATCTGACGTAGACAACTTGTTAGATTACAATGGAGACCCAAAAAAAAATATTAGAAAAAAGAAACAAAATTGTCATCAGACTTATTATTCTACTTACCAGTATAAAGATAAAATGGATCTGAAGAATAGGCTGCTAATTTATAAAACGTGGAATTGGCTGGACTTGATTGGCATACAGATGAATCAGAACAGATGGGTGGCATCTGGAGGCGTTGACATAATCCCATATAGAACACACATGTTGGTGGAATAGTGTTGTTTACTGGTAGACAATTCTGATTCTTTCCTTCAAACGTCCAAATTCTACAATCAATGGAAATTATATTCATGGTTAATTCAGACAACCTTCCATGTTTGTTAGCCTCCTATATTGAAAGGCAGAAAAAACATCATATTTGATAAAACTTAATGCTCACAGAAGTGGCATTTCTATGTAACATTAGATTAGGTGGAGGGGCCTAGTGGGGGCCACAGAATCGTTAAGAGAGGGCAACAAGTACTAGGCATTAAATAGGTTAATGATAAGAAACATGAAACTGGGCAGACCAAAACCAGGCCAGTCAAGTTTCTGGGGGCCATGGCCTACTTGTAATAAATCTCTATAGAGTAGGACTCTGAGAGATATCTATAGGTTCCAAATGGAAATATAAAGATTCCAGAGCCTTTGAACAAGCAATGGGTGCATCATCAACAAAAGTAAGGATTTTTAAACCTCATTTTACGACAAATAAACATCATTCAAAATATATGACAACCTGGCAGTTAGGTTCCCGACGTCATATCCTGGAGCTCCAGATCCACAAACTTTGATAGGCACAGCTTGGCAACTTATAAAATCAAGAAAACTTAGCAAAATTATACTGGTAACTATGTAGATGGATGCAGCCATTTTATGTCATGTGATAGCTAAATATAGAAAAATAATACTGGATAATTGCTTTTTTGATTATCCAGACGTAATATGAAGAGGCCGAATTTGACTTAAATGTTTATTTGCTAATGACGGCTCGATTACAATTCGAGTTCTGACTAAGAATACCCGATATAATACTTAACAAATATTGCCAATTAATTCAAGATCACGTGAAGTCTAAAAATAGATATGGAGTATTTTCCGGATATGAGAAAAGTAAACAAAAACAAAAGAGCTGAGAGAAGCTGGTTTAGTTGAGACGCAGAAAAATGGAATATTGCTGATTTGATGGGTGAGAATTTGTCATTGTTACATGCCTATATGAATTTTCTTATCTCTTGAGTGGAATTGAATTCCAGCAAGCAAAATTAGGCCTATCCTATATTTATTTTACGTCAGCTGACGCTTGCTGAGGTTTTTCTGCATATCGCTTTGTCCTTTCTTTGTTAAACCATATTATTATAATGCATAGTAGCATTGAATAAAATAATATTCTTTGAGCAAGACTTACTAAGTACATTTTGAGTGATGTATGCACAGTCTTGCTCAAAGAATCTTATTAAGTTAATGTTACTAGTTTACATTTTGATTGAGATATTCTCTTGGAAATGTGTTTGAATGTTAAAACATTCCCTATTAATGAAGAAGCAATCCATTTAAAGATGCCAGTAAGCTTAAATATGTAACCGTTTATGTTAGGCTTGTGGGAAATTGGAAGATCTGCGTTTGATGTTCTTTTCCATAAAGAGATTTGTATATAATCCAAGAAAGATCACTACCTGTTGGTTTGGCCAAGGATATATGCTGGTGCTGCAAAATCTGCAAAACTTTTATCTTGAATTTTCAAATTCCACTCTTTTGTAGTATGTAACAGTTTTTTGACGTTTTTTTCTAGATATTTTGAGTGGGAATTGACGTGGAGTAAGAATGGATCAAGTTGATTCACTAGAGGGTTGGGTGGCCGTCAAAAACAATCCGTTTGTGGACGACCTTCTACCACCTAGATTGACCTTCCTGGTAGCATGGAACGGAGTGGAGAGCAAGATTGCTGTGACATGTAGGTCAAGTTCAAGGACAGTCAGTGATAAAAGTGACGATAAAACGCGATTTGGATATTTCAGCTATCAGGAGTTAAAAGGAATTCACGAAATGTTGTGTTTAATTCATCCTTCACTTTCCCCGCATCTTCCAGCGTTACCAGAGCAACCAGTAGGATTAATGGCGTACATAAGTAGCGTTCCGGTGCCTGACGACGTAGAAAAGCTCTGCCATGATCTCACAACTTATTTCAACCTTGCTCTGGAAATTTGCAAAGAAAAACTTTTAATTTCTACCTTATTTGAAGACCCCAACTATGATGACTATTTTGAAAGTGTTGGTGAACTTCGCAGACAAGGATATTTGGAGCAAATTGCAAATTCTGAAGAAGAAATTAAAAATGTAATTTTTGAACGTGATAACTGCGTTACGATGCAGGAAATGGAGAATGTTTACGACGTTGAAGATGATGCAGTGTTTCGATTAAACATAGTTTTAGCTGAATATTTCAATTACCAAATTCAGCCATTTTTAGATTTACGCGAAGTTTCGTTTAATAAGTTAAAAGAGGCTAAAAATAACCTGTTGAACCCTGACCTCGGGGAGCGAGTGAGAAAAGAAAATGTAGAAGCTATAGCAGAATGGCAGGAACATTATGAACAGAGTCTGGATTCTATACAAGATATTTATATCAAATATTACACCAGAACCAGTCAAGTATATACAGGTATATATAGCCTAATAGGATAGCAAATGAATGAACTGTTGTTTTAGAATTTTCACAACTGAATATATCAGACTGTTAATTGGGAATTGTTGCAAGTTCATTACATGAATATGGTTTTATGAGCTGGGCAGTATCTTCATATATTAATATTGATGAATATTGACCGACACAGTATTTTTTTGACAAATTGTATAAGAACAGGATCTTCAATTAAAATTAAAAGCAATGTTGACAGCTGAAATCAGGCCCGTAACCAGCCCAATTTGCAAATGGGGGCTGCTGCATTTGCATGTCGGGCAAAATAGCTGATAGAGACAGATTTCAGCTTCAATTGAGAATTTGTTCTAATTTTGTAGGGGGGGCAAATATATTTCCAGGGGGGGGCACCCCCCTAGTTACGGCCTGGCTGAAATTGAATCAAATCAATTGTTTAAATGACTATGAACCCTGTAATGAAAATAAAAGGAGAATATGTTCAAGTTCGAATAATGAAAAGTAATATTGACAGCTGATATTGAATGAAGTTACCTTATAGGAATAAGATATGTTCAAATGATTAAATCAATTAAGGTATAGAAATTTAGTGAAATTTGTCTTGCTCTATGTTACAGATATGTGTGATAGAATGAATGAAGATAAAACTCGGTTTGGAAAGAAAGCGTTTGATATTGTTGGTACTGATAGACTTTTCAGGTAAGAACCAGGCCACATAGTCTCAAAACGATCTTAGTCCTTTTATATCCTAGACACAGTGTTATCAGTTAAGACCATAGGACATCCTTGCACTAAGATTCTTTCAAAAATATGCAGAAAAAAAAGAGTATGCTTACTATGCCTGATACCACTTTTCATTATGAAATACTTACGCACTTATGATTGATATACTTTCTCATGTGAAAAGTTCATTAGCTGCAACCAATGTTTCGCCAATATGATGTTTGTGGATTTCGGGTTTGTTGTGTTTTTTCGGATCGTTAGTACTTGATTTATTTATCGTTTTGAATAATTGACTATTGTGTGATTTTAGAATTGAAGAGAATACGTGTTTAGAGAGGATGCAGTTATTTTTAAACAGTAAGAAATGGTGTGTACAAGAACGAGATAAAGTCAAACAAGAGGTTAGATTATTAGATATTACTGGAAACTAGGACTCAGAGTCAATCAAATCTTCAAAGAAAAACAAAATTTTATTTGCTTCAAGAGCATAATGAAAGGCAGGAGGCCTTATCCTCAGGGACAGACACGTCACTTTCCTTTTACGTTTTCATTGTAATTGTAATTTTATGGCCTATGTTATGGTTCTGACCATATATTCTAGAAAGGATCTTAGTGCTAGGATGTCCTAGAATCAATGTCAGAAGATAAGAATCCAGGACATTCTAGCGCTAAAATTGTTTCGAGAATACATGGCATGGATTGTTTTTGACAAGAAATGGACAATGCCATATAGTGTGCAATTTGGCAGTGACAGTACATAAGATACAAAACGTCGGCATTAGGTCACATGATTCAGAAAAGTAGGATGTAAAACTCCATTCATTTCATTTCCAATAGAATCGCAATGTCATTTGACATTTGAGTGGCCTGTTTGTCATGTCTGGATAATAGAACCAAATCACCAACCCTGCACACAGTAAAGCTTGATATTTCTTAAGGCCTTTTTACTTTCAGATCGCGAGTCTGGACGAAAGTCCAGCAGTACGCAAAGAAGTTCAGTTACTGGAAAATCATATTTACAGATGGCAGATTCGAATTTACGATGAACATCTGAAAATTTTCAGCGAAGAAGAAAAATGGACTAAATGTTTGTTACGAGCTCGATATCACAAGATAGATGGTAGGTGTATATTAATGCGTATATTTTAAACCTTAAAGCTATCATGAAGTTAAGATAGGAAAATGAATTAACAGTAATTGGTTCACAGACATACTTAAATCGGTTTTAATTAAAAAATACTTCATAATTTTATTTATGAATTTAAAATTGTTTACTTGAAACTTGCTTTTAAATTTAAATAATTAAATCACAATTCCGTTTACACAAAATCACACAATCTATTGGATAACAGCGGTCACATGCATTTGTTTTGAGTTTGATTGACGTGGCCAAAACAAGGAGTCGATATCATGAATCTGTTTCGCGGATTTATTCAGTGTTCACAGGTTTTTTCTGTTTATACATCGATAAACTGAAAAAATGTTTTGTTCAAATTTAATAAATTTTTCAATTTAATTTGTTTTTAGAAGTGAATGAGGAGGTGTTGTTTTATGATGCCGTGGAAGATCTAGATGAGATGTCAGAAGAAGATGATGTTGATGAATGTGATTTAAAAACAGATCCAGAAATTCTCAAACTTAAACGTAGGCTTGCTGATATCAATCGTAGACGAGCTATCGTTCGAAATAGAAAGGTAAAATTTTACCTTTTGTATGAAAAAATATCATGATTTTTAAACTTCATATAGGAATTTTCTCACTTTCAGAGAGTCCACATTAGAGCTAATAATGTTTATTTCATATCTGGTTTTGTCAAGTCAGCATCCCTTTCAGAGAGTCCCCATAGCTAAAAATGTAATTGAGTCAATGTATATTTTGGTGTATTTATTTCAGTCAACTCTGGAAAGACAATGTAAAGAGAAACAAGAAGAGAGAAAGAACTATATAGATACTTTTAATCACCATCATTCTATACAAATGGTTTGTCTTTTTCTTAATTTATTGTCTATTTATCTATTGTGGCTTGGTGAAAGGAATACTACTTTTTACAATGAACATGAAGTCTCAAACTTGAGTAAAATGAGTATATAATCATCAGTGGCCTAACCTGATGTCATAATTAAGCAACAGATTCCCTGTCAATGACGATAAATTTTAGGCAAGTTTAGAAATTAAAAATTTTGGTCTTCATTTTTGGTAGCTTTCTTTTAATTGAAGACCGGCTTGCTAATAATAATAATGCTATGGTCTTGATTTTTTATTGCAGAAACGAGACAAAGATAAAGAAATTTTAGAAATGAAGAAAGATTTTATACAAGAACAGAGAAAGAGAACTATTGAAAGGTTGAAGAGCCACAAAGTTGTAAGTCAAAGCTTTTTTCTTGAATCTTTGTATCTTCGAAATACAAAACTGTTTTATACATATCAGAGTCTGATGTCAGATAGAGCATATTGACTGTCGGACATTTGAGAAGCCCCGTCGGTTATGACTGGCAAATATACAGCCTGTATCAGACTCAAATGCTACAAATTTCTCAATTTTCTAAAACATTTATAAACAGCATGAGAGAAAATCTTGTCAATTAAATTGTTTAAGAGAAACCACTGAAATTTAAATGGACTTTATGAATTTTTTTCAGAAATATCCAACTCCACCAACAATCAAGCCACTACGTTACCAACCTCCGTCGTTAAGGAAAGATTCCTTGACTTCACTCAGCAGACGCAATCCACCATCTTTATCTAGTAACTATGGTAAGAAACAATATAATGAATATCCTTCTTTACATCCAATCAAAGAAAGCAAAGGAAAGAAGACACCAGTTAAACGAAAACCATTCGTTCGTCCTCAAAAAAAGAAACAAGATAATGTAGATGGCGATGTTACGTTTTATATCAGTGGTGGAACAGTCATGAATCATAATGTGGCGTCTGCTCAAGATGGTGGTAGTGATGTGGTTGGTGATTCAGGAAGTACACAAGTGACCTCCACTCCTTCATCAAATGTTCCCCCTCCACCCCCAATGAACATCCCCCTTCCGCCCCCAATCAACATCCCCCCTCCACCCCCAATCAACATCCCCCCTCCCCCACCAATTAATCTTATGCCTTCACTATCTAATTCTAAACCAATGTCCGATGCCCCCAAACCTCCTCCTTTGGGGTTAGGAAATTTAGCAGAAGCCATGAAGAATCTAAAGAAAGCTGAAGTTACCACTGATACAACCAAGACAGGAAGTGGTGGCTTAGATTTAAGCAGTATCACAGCTGGAAGAATTCATTTAAAACCAGCCAGTCAACGCACATTAAAACCAGTGAAAAAAGGTAATTACTTTGTTTTTTATTCATTGTAATGTGACACTCTTTGCTCTTATCAGATGCATCAGGCTCCAAACTCTTCCAGTATCAGTATTGAAGATTATTAGCGTAAAAGAGAAATTTGATCCCTCCTTTATTGATGTAGAAAATAGCAGTGTGATGTTTTAAACTACTTTGATATAAAGTCTGCTTTGAAAAGATCTAAAAAAGACGTGATTAGGATTTATTGCACTCAATCTTTTGAGCTGGCAAGCTAAGTCCAAAGTGGGCCTGCCTATTGGCAATTCTCAGAATTTTCTGTAATGCTAGCCTTAGCAGGGAAATCAACTCAGACTGTTTGCATTCTAATACTGCATTCTATATAGTATTATCTATTGCATTCATATATTATTTCTTTATTTTCCAGATCCTAATGATTTGAATGAAATCTTCAACATGATAAAACAGGGAGTGAAGCTCCGCCCAGTCAAATCAATTGACCAATCAAAAAGTCCATCTATGAGTCAATCATTCCCGAGTGACACCCACATCAGCCTATTACAAGAGAGTATGAGAAGAATTAACAACATGGTTCGAGGCAATACGCCAGAATCTGAAACCAGTGATGATAATAGTGATTTTGACGACTGAAACTATGTCAAAAATGTCTTGATTATGACCGAAACAGTTAAGGTGCTGGCACACGAGCCGCCTTGAGTTTCAACGACTGGCGCTGGCACACAAGTAAAAATCTCCAGTCGGTTGTTTTCCACCTTGTCGATAATCACTTGCAGAGCATGCAATTGAAAGGAAAAGGAATCTGATTGGATGATGATGGTCTGTCTTTCAGACAATAAAACTATCGGAGACAATTATCAAACTTGATTGGAGTCGGAGAAAAAAATCTCCAACCAAGACCGCTCGAGTGCCCGCACCTTTAAACAGTTTTCAAAATATTTGCAGAATTCAAGCTATCTGCAGCATTTTTCAGAACTGAAACAGAAGCTCAGTTCTTATGCTATTTCATAAAAATGTATTTTGAAAGTTTAGATGATTGTTACTTCTTTTGTTACCATGCTCACTGACTAATATAACAAAGTTGAAACTGATAACAAAAATCAAGCAAAACAAATACTTTAACCAAAAATCTTGTCCAAAGAAAGAGAAAATCAGGAGAAATATTTGTATAGTAACAATCTGAAAGAATCTTTCACAATACATTTTTGTTGAAGTGTAGGAAATTCTTTAATAAGTTGTTGAAAGTGAGATTTATTTCAAATTTCATTTATACAATATTATCTCATAGTTCCTTGATTGGAATTTAAATATCTTGATGAAATTGTGTTGTATAGACACTGAAAGATTGTACCCTGATCTAAATGATTCTGGGTTGTAGTAAAATAGAAATTGGGGTAAAATAATGGACCCATGAATTAAAATATAGTCTCCTGGACCCCGTTTCACAAATTTTGTAGATTAATGTACGTAAACGACATAAATTACCGATTTAAACAGGTCAAAGATAATGTTTTTTTTCACTTAAAGGGAACGGTGTGCCATTTTGGGGGTTGATTTTAGTCTTGAATAGCATTCAGAAGAACTAAGAAATGCACCGAAATCACATAATTTTTTTTAAAGATACTTCAAACTAGGAATTTTACTCACCATTTCTATATATGTCTTTCCTTTATATCACAGAGTATCTTTAATCGATGAGTCATCATTTTAACATTCAAACGCAGATAATTCTGGATTTGAAGGCTCAAATTTCGTCGGTGAGCTGTGAACACTATTACTGATTAGCTCTGCTAAAATATTTCAGTATCTGATACTAAAGTGATTGGTAAAAAAAATGGCCCGTCTGTCCCTTTAATGTGCAAAATTTGTGGTATGAATTTTTGAGAAATGGGTCTGTAGACTGGTGATTGTAACTTTATATTTTAAAGGTTATTATATTACTATTATATTTATTAGATTTTTATTCTGGCTGTGATATGATTTGGGCAGAGAATATTCATTGTTTAATTTTAGTTTTATTAACCAATTAGATTCATAGTAATCCTTTTCTTTAAGTAAAATTGTTGTGGATAGGACCCTTGAGTATTAAAAAACGTGTTCTATTAATAAATGCTATATCTTAGAATGGACATAAAATTTTTAAGTCTCAAACTTGGTCAAAAAATGTATATATTCATCAGTGGGGGCTTACTAGGTGCCATGACTTCTAACAATATTTCAATACTTAGTTTAATGAATTATTACTATTTATGGATTTATTGTATGATAGAGGGGTCTGTTGTAGAGTTATGACACCAGATGAACAAATACTCATTTTGGCCAAGTTTAAAAATTTCAATTTTTAGTTATTCTGTGCCAATAATTGTGATAATCTGTTTGTAGTTTTAGTAATTTTTTACAAGTTATTTAATTATACTAATTATGAGATTCGAACAGTTCAATAGGAAACAAGTGGAGACAATCCTTCCACACCTGTGACAAATTTGATTGATGAAAGATTTTTGTGAATTACGATTCGTAAAATCAATTTTTCAGCCAACATAACCCTCAAGTCTCAATATTTATCTGTATTTATTATTTATATTTGTGATTTGCCATGACTTTCTTCACTGAATGACAGTCCTCTCAAAGTATTCTATTTTATCTCTAAAGAGTCAATTTACTTGAATTGAAACAATCAACTAAAGGTGCAGGCACACGAGCGGTCTTGATCAAGACTTTTGTCGCCGATTTGAGTCTAACGACTTGCACGGGCACACAATGAGACAATCGTTTTCCACCTTGTCGATAATCACCTGCGGAGCATGCAATCGAAAGGAAACTGACTCTGACTGGATGATGATGGTCTGTCTTGCAGACGATAAATCTATCGGAGATAATTATCAAACTTGTTTGATATTATAAATCCTTTCAGGGACACGATAATCTTGTCATGGAAGCTCAGGCACACACGCGATTTTTCTCAAGACTCAAATCGGCGACAAAAATCAATTGGAACCCTTTAGAGCCAAACATATTTCTTCTTATCCAGCTCCTATTTCAAACATACATAAAGTCCATTTTATTTTTTTGGTAGTCAAGTAGTAATGAAATGAATTGAGTTTTACGTCCTACTTTTCTGGGCTATTGAATGACGGCGGCATTAACATAATATAAGTTTAATCTATATACTATATACTGTATACAATTTATTCCACCTTAAGATAAAGTGGACTGTGCTTTGAATCAAACCTGGTCTGAGGGCTACAAAACTTTTTTCATACTCAGTTTTTACCCAAATTCATAATGCCCCCAATATCAAGAAAAGGTAAAATTTGAAGATTAATGTGATAATGCTAGGAAGATTGTTCCCTTAGGAATAGATTTATTATACTATTTCTTTGATACAATTAGTTATGCACCTGTAATAGCTGCTTCAAATTTGAGTAAAATTTCAGTAAAGTATGAACCAGTTTTGTAGCCCTTGGGTTTGAATGTGCCAGACTATACCCCCAATTATTTATGTTTTATCTATATTAGTGTTTATGATTTGCCATGAATTTATTTACTCAATGCACCTAAAATTATGTATCAATATATAGATACCTATGAAATAAACTTGATAAAAGTGATAAATCTCAATGTTTGCCACCAAATCACACTGAACGCAAGCCAAGGTATGGAAGGGTATCTGTATCACAAGTTATCGACATATAATTATGATGGAATTAACTTAATGAAAGTGAATTTCAATGTTTGCCACCAGCAGCACTTTCACTAAATGTAAGCCAAGTAAGTATAGAAGGGTTTCAGTGTCACAAGTCAATGATAACTATGCGAATAGGTTGGTTGGTTGGTTGGTAGATGACAAGTTAATGTTCGCTTCCAGTGGATGCTGGTATCGCAAATATCGATAGGGTAAACCAGGTAGTTGTTAGTAGTCTACATCACAAGTCAATGATAACTGTGATAATATCAATCCCCAAGCATTATATTGGTAGTGAGCACCCTAGTTAGTATGGAAGGATTTCTACGTCACAAGTCAATGATAACTGTGATAATATCAAACCCTCAAGCATTATATTGGTATCTAGCACCCTAGTTAGTATGGAAGGATTTCTACGTCACAAGTCAATGATAACTGTGCTAATATCAAACCCCCAAGCATTATTGTTCAGATTTGAATTACCTTCGTATTCAGATATTCTTTGATGGAAACATACTCGTAACTAATCTTTATTATTTTTAAATTTTGAGACATTAATCAAATTTCTAACTGAAGTCTAACTGCTCCTTCATTGGCATCACCCGCAATGATTTTTTATGGTTTTGAATTCGTCCATCTCCCAAACCTGGCACCCACCCTGATGAGGTGGTGCCGTTAAAGAGGTACATAAGTGAAGTAGCGCCTTTGGAGATATGATGTAATCCTCCTTTTTCTAATTAAATCTATACTCAATAAGTTCATACAGATTACTTTGTGACCTAGACCAATGCTTTCATGAGACTATGTTCTCATCACCATCTAACAGATTAAATATTGATTCTAGTTTTGTTTTACATCTCATTTTTTAATAAGAAAAATTAAACTTAAAAAGTCCCATATTTTTAAATACACAAGATTTAACACACAATAGTTGTAAGAAAAAGTTTTTATTAAAAATCAACAAGGAAATAATAATAATATACTGTTATATTAATACATTCTCTCAAACAGTCTTATAAGATCATTTTATTAATAGAAGTTTCCATCAATACAAAACTAACAAGTTTCATATATAAGACCGCTCTATTGATAGAAGTTTTCCATCAATACAAAACTAATATTACACATTGTCTGCTTTATACTTCACCCCACATGCTATCCTATAGTATGACAAACCTTATTGGTTTTACCTTGTTCAATTTTCAAAATCATTCCAAGTAATTTTGTACAAGAATTACAGAGTGGCAAGTTTTCGTAATTTTCTGCTCCATCTTAACGAAAATAATATATTTTCTTTTACAAAAGAGGTGAAATTCCCACCGTTTAATGATAAAGTTTCTCTAACAAAAGTCAAGACATAAGATAGGATTGGATAGAACACGAATGATGTTGTCTTATTCACAGTTAATTACTATATCTTTAACACTTTCATTATTATTAATAATATTGTCAAATTCTTTATTTCCCTAGGACTGTTCACATCACAAACAACTGTTTTCACTTTTTTAAACAAATCGTCAGCACTTTGTAATCCCTCTTCTATCAATATTACTTTTAACTGATTATAATGACTCAAATGTTCCTCATGATATCTGATATCTTTTAAAATTGTGTCAAATCCCTGAAACAGATATATCCATTTTTTACACATTAAAACGAAGCAAAATGAAGAAATTGTAACTATAATTCACATATGAAAGTAGAGCGCTGTTATGAGACAGATTTCTACAATACTCAGTTTATAGCGGTTTATTCTTTGTACTTCCATTAGTCCATCGACAAATGCTTGTAAACACTCTAAAAGACACAATTCTTGACGGATTTTGACAAAACTTTGATTGAAAGTTCCTAATCGCCCAAGGATGAAAATCAGAAGAATCGAAAAATATCAAGTATGAGTTATTGCCCTTGTTCTTGTTTATTATCACTCATAGATGAATCCTATCGA